GCAACAACCTTTGTAGAGATGATGGATGGCGTGATGGGCAGCCTGACTGAGTGCAGCTCTAGGTACCTAGGCAACATCACAGAGGAAACAGCATAAAAAAGGGAAATGGAGATCAGGCTACAAAAATGGGGACAGAGTCAAGTGGCTGACAGCGTATCATAGATAGAGGTGAAAATGAACAGGAAGCGATGAGATGGGCCAGACACTAAGGGACAAACACTGAAGGCATGGTGAGGGGCAGAGACCATGGGCATTGTGACCTTGTAGGAGATTTGCAACCTTAGTTCAAATGCAGAATGAGGATGGACAAAATATACCTGCTTCCAAGTCTCTTTGTGCTTTTTGCATGTGGCTCTGGCCAACGCAATTAACAGCCTGGTGACACTGACCTTTCCTAGTAATGGCTGCATCAAATGGCAGGGGTCAAAGAGTCTGAAAGAGATTGATTTATGTCAAGATGCAGAAGAGGCAGCTCTGCTCATGGTCCCATGTGTACAGTTGAAGCTGAGGCTGTTTGGTGTTCTTTGATTTCACTGTAGCAGAGGGAAGAAGAAAGCTTGGTCCACAGGAAAGTTTCAAATCCATATGGTTGGAAGTAGGTGGAAAGGGATTTTCCCTTGTGAGAACTTACCCTGAAATGGAGAGTTACATTCTGAGAAAGATAAAGTAGATCAAAATGAACAAAAAAAGCAAGTTGTTTGAATGAAAAATGAGGTATGATAGATCAAAGTCATTATCAAAAGGAAAAAAAAATCAAGGGTCCTGTTGAAAAGAAAAAGACAAGTACAAAAATAAATAGTTAAGTTAGACTATGACATAACAATTTTGACACGGGGGAACATCGAAAGGGAAAAGTTCAGCAGAGAAATAGAATGGAAGCAATAAAGGTGGAAGGAACGGTGCTGAGAAGGCTTCTGGAAGTCATTTAGTGGAAGGCACATGTGGGTCTGTGGGAACGGACAAGTGCTGTAACAGGCCATGTAATTCTTTTTCATTCTACAATGAAAAGTAGAAAATTTCACCAAGGCTTCAGCAAGATGGGATTGCACTTGGGCTCATTCTATGTAAAAGTCCAGCATCACCACTGTAGAATACTTAGTTGGACTGTTTATAACAAAGAACAATGGGTGCAGGATTTAGCAGTAAGACAATGTCGCCTAAGACAAGAGTAAGAGCCAAGAGGTGTCAGTTCATGTCCTTAATCACGAACTCTTGCTCATTCTGAAAAGTTACATTGAAATGACTATAATAGTTTTTCCTATTTGCTGCTGTTCTCTGGTTGTCCACCTGTTACAGGCTTGAAATAAAGAAATATGAGCTTCAATAAGGTAGGTTCTGGAAAGGAGGTGGGAGAGAACTACCACCACCAGCCCAGAGGTAGACAATCTTTCAGAGTGGAAAGTCAGCTGCTGGCAAGGTACCTCTGGTTAGTGGTGAGAGGTGGAGCACTGAATGTTGGGTAATTGTCCTTCCAGTAACATTCCATGTCCTATCAAGAATGTGCCTTATACTTTCTCATTCTGTTTCATTGTCTTCTTTTGGGAAGTTTTCTTTCCGTGTCTTTCTGGGTGTCAATATCAAAGTGGACTTTAGGACTTTCCCCAGGAGTCTGTAAGCATCTTTGGGTACAGCGCATTTGAAGAGAGGGAAGAACACAGGTCAGTAGAGTCTGGGACCAAGGAACAGTCACACCAGCAAAATATGGTGGGAAAATGTACTAGCCAGAGACAGAGGCATGAACACAGGAGGTGGGAGGTAAAAGGACCCCTCACTATATTCCCAATGAAGACTCCAGAGGCCAGAGTTTGCCGATATGTGGACCTTAGGAATAACGACAAGTCAATATCCAGACATTTGAGGAAGAAAAATACACAACAGAATGTGTTCCCCGTTGATTGTCGCTTTTTATTTGACAAACTAGAGAAGGATAAGTTATTGAGTATATATAGCTGTTAAATGAATGCCACCACCAGTTGGATAGTGAACTAAAAAATTCAGGTTACAGCCCAAAACATAATAACATTGTCTAATATTTCACCATGGATCCATATATTAGAAGCAATTTCTATTTTCAGTTTTATTTTCTCCCAACATAGCTAAACTTCACTATTTTGTCACATTATGTAGGATGTTGCAGTGCCTCATAATTTCCCCAGATCTATCCTTTGTCAAGTCTTAAAGGAAAGCCCTGCCATTCCAGCATTCTATTATGTAGCAAACAGGTTTATAATTTCCCTATTCAGGTTCTCCTTCCATATAATTGAGACTGAATGCAAATGTGTCTGCATGTTGATGGAGATGTTTCAAGGGTCACAAATATTACGACAACACTGATGCCTTCCCCAAAGGGATTGAGGGTGGAAAAGCCCTTTTATTCTTTAATAGCTGCATAATTTGATTTCATTTTTACAGAAATGTTTGCATTGGGCTGAATATCAGTGACAGTTTGCCTACGTTTGGATACCATAACCTCTTTTCCCTGGGTTTACAGTAATGAAACACAAAGTTCTGTGTTTCTGGGCTATGGGGCAATCAGAATTCCCTTCCCTGCTCTATGATTTAGCGGCCTGAGGACATTGGTAACTGTAGCACATCCATCTGAGTTGAATCATTTAAGAGAAATGAAGGTATTTACTTCTCTCTCAGAACTCGGGTTTTTGTCAGATGACAAGAAATACTGTTGCAGCGTTGTTGTCGAGGCAAACTGAAACTACAAGACTTGAACTTGAAAGAGCCTGTAGAAGTGTTTTATTGGAACATTATTTTTCTACCTGAAACTGACTGATACTGCTTCACAGAAAGGCAATTATCCATTTGTTACCAGCTGCTCCTGATTCTGCACCGGCAAAATCCAATTCCAATCTCCTTTACTTCTCTTGTCCAAGGACATCAAATGTTGAGCCCCCCAGTAGTTCCCCAAAGAAATGCTAGAATAGCAGGTGAGAGGACTCCAGCCAAGCATCAATTGAAATAGAGCTTTTAGACCCTGATCACCCTGACTGCCTTCATTTTCAACCTGGAATCTCAAGATGACTGACCTCTTGGTTGACATCATTCTTTGACGGGGTTCATGTGCATAGTATAGGGCATTTAACAGTGTTAATAATCTCTACCTATGACACCTGGCAACAACAGAAATGACTTCTAAACATTGTCATGGGTGGAAAGCAATCTTTTGTTGAGGACCACAATCTTAAGCTTTAGTTTCATGAGTAAAGCAATGTTAATGAGATGGAAAGCTGCTGCTTAAGGTGAAAGGATACATTTATTTTTTAAACATTTAAGTTTTGTTTGTTAGTTTCTGGGTATGTGCGCATGACTGTGAGTGTATGCCACATGTATATATGTGCCTTCAGAAGTCAAGAAACACTTTCAAATCCCCTAGAGCTGGAGTAACAGGTGGTTGTGAGACACCAAAAGTAGATGCTGAAAACCAAACTCAAGTCTACTGGAAGAGCAGCAAGTGTACTTAACCACTGAACCCCCAAAATGAAACATATCGAAGGGGTAGTCTGCCCTGTGAATATAAACTGTTGTAAATGTTATAGACACATTTGTGAGACATCGACTTTGTAGGTCTCAGTTGGAAGAATAGGATAAGGCTCCTAGGAGAAATATAACCCACTCTCAACTATAAAATCAGGAGTTGAGAACTTACAGGTACATCTACATATTTAAACCCTTATTTGAATGCCAGGTGGAGATTTGGTCCACATTATCATTGAGGTTTTTTTCCTAAGGTTAAAAATCCTATGAAAATAAGATAATTATAATGTGATTAGTCCTTGTAGAAAAATAAATATCCATGTTCTAGAAGCTTATTAATTTCTAGATATTGAAGTAAAATCTATTTGTCTCAAGTAATAAAGAGATACTTTCATATTTGCTGCATCTGTGGTCTCAGAAACAATGGGCACAGCATGAAGCTGAAGCCATGGTCCTCTCCCAGACAACGTTCCAGTCCAAATTAAAGCGAAGGGGTGGCCAGCATGGTTTGCAGAGAACAGCTTCAAGGAAGGAAGGCTGCCATGCTTGACCCAAGATCAAAGCCTTTTGTTTGGTGTCGCTAAGTGGACAACTAATTGTGATGCCCTGTTCATACACAGCAGGAGTAAGCTCTCCACTGAAGGCAAAAACAGACCTTTCCTACCCTGGGTGGGACTAAGAGGCGAGCTCTTCCTGTTTGCCTGGGATCCAGAACTTTAAACACTCGTAGGGACTCCTACACATCTGAAGGTTCTCCTGGAGGGTTCTGTACTCATTTGTTTTAAAAATAATATAAATAAAAATATCTATGTGCAAAAGAGTCTTTGCACCCAGATTTGTTCTTTTATTGTCTCTTCCACAGGAAAAGAGGATGGTTAATGAACGATCCCTTAGATACAATCCTGGTTTTGTGCAAGCCACGTTTGCATAATGGCAGGAAGGGGCAAATACAAAGATTCAGAGGCACAAACAAAACTAATTAAAATATGAGGAGAGTTTGAAATGAGTGTCTCATGGCTGCAAAGGATGATTCAATTCATGTAGAATTGAGGGCACGGGAGTTCAGATCACCTGAGAAAGAATGATCTGGCTTTGGGGCTTATTTAATTCCTGTAAATGGGATATTAACAAACAAACCTGAATTGGACAAAGTATCTAAACACCTAAAAGGCTTTTTTCCTTCATTTTCACCCCATGTTAATCTTCTCAAGAAACACTTTCATCCCCGATGTAACATCTATGATGGATGCACAGTTGTCCTGCATATTGTAAGATAACTGTAGTTCCTTCTGATTAACAGCATGGAGAAAAGCAGAATATTATTTAGTATACTAAAATGTCTGGTCCTTTAAATTCTGGTAGATAAAGAAAACTTTGATGGAATCTCAGAGACGTTTTCTTCTTGGATTTAAACCTGTAATAAAATGTTGCTGACAGAGTAATTATAAATGTTTTATATATTCCGTGCATATGTGCTCCTTGCTAAACCAATTTAATTCCCATTAATGTTAATCTCGTTAATACCCACTCAAAGAGCAAAGGACTACTCTTAATAAACTATTGATTTATTTGAACCATTTAAGTGGGGGATGGGCAGGAAGGGATGGGAGCAGAGAAAAAGCCACCATGTTACCCACAACTGTGTTTCTTAGAGTATTTTCCAAACATTAATGAGCAAAAGATTGTAACTGACATGAGAAAAAAAAAAAAAAAAAACAGAGGAAAAATATAGGGACAGAGAGGCAGTCCCCAACCCAGGAAATCTGAGAGACCCAGAAAGGAGTTGTTACCTTAGGTTAGAAATGAGACACTACAAAGAAACGTAGGCTTCTTTTTTTCAAAAAGAAAAATGAGATTCATATTTGTAAGTTCCCACTGAAGTGGGGTTTTCTTTAAAAAAAAAAATCAGTCATATCAAGACACAGGTAAGCAGCTGTCTTACTACGCTCCTGGTCGTGCCTGGATATCTTGCCCTCAATAGAAGAATTTGGTAATTTCTCTGGAACTCAGCTGACCACCAATCAGTCAGATGTCCTTGTCTATGAACCTTTGATCAACCAGGAAGCAAGATGGGCTCTTAAGAGAAGCTGTGTCCTGTCTTAGTGACTTCCTTGAGTATAGTTACACAGTGAGGCTGGAGGCCACAGGCCAGCCTCAATCTCAGACAGCCATAACAAACCCTCACTGCTCCTTTCAGATCATCCCAGAATCAGCTCCAAAAGGTAGAGATGTCTATTGCCTCATTCTCCCTTGGAAAATTATTGTAAAATAGGGAGAACATGGAAGAAGGGATTTTGTCCAGGATCCACCAGCTGGCCTTAAGATAAGTGATTTAACCTCCCTGAGACTGTTTCCCTTATCTTTAAAATGGGATTGTGGTCTTTGTAAACTACATTCATAACACATAGTAGCATAAGGATCAAAAATATACTTGAAAACACTATGAGAATTGTTGTGTGCAAACATTATTAACTGAGAAAATGTTTACGAAACAAAATAAAACAAGTGGCTTGGGCGGGAAGCTGAAAACATAAGACTTGGGTATCAATTCTATGAAGGTCTTGTATTTAACAGAAGAGAGGTTTATCCTCAGGATTTTCCTAAAAGTATTTAATGTCAACTGGTGCTTATACCTTAAGAATGGGCATATAGAACATTAAAAAAAATTACCGAAAACAGGAAGAAGTTTTCCTTTTCTGCTTGATGCAAATGTTTGATGTTGGTTACACACTGGGATGGGGCGGCAGGGGGAAAAGATTGGTTGAAAAAAAAATACTGAAACACATATTTTCCGCACAAATATTAAACTGTCCTTTTCTCTACCGATCGGTAAAAAAATATATTATATTTGATATTTTTTTCTTTTTAAATTATATTTGCTATCCATCCCAGCCGAAGTCTCGCCCGGTCATCTGGTAGAATTTGAGGTTGAAGGGCCTGTAGAACTCACGCAGCCTCCGCAGCACCTCGCGCGCGATGGCGGGGTGCGCGCGGCCCTTGGTCTTGCCCAGGCAGTGCGGCTTGCTGCTGCCCTCGGCCTTCTTGAGGCACGGGAAGCCCTTGGTCTGGTTGAAGTAGAAGTGCTTGTCGGTGATGATGCGCTTGAGGCCCAGGAAGTCCTGCACGCGGCCCAGCTCTCCGGCCGGGTCGCTGACCAGCCGCTCCCCGCTCACGAAGAGCATCTGGCCGAGCGGGAAGTGGCGCAGCCAGGGCTCCAGGTGCTTGGCGTACAGGCCGATCTGGATGGCGCTCCACGACGTGTCGATGAGCCCCGCGCTGCGGTTGCGGAACGTCAGGCTCTCGAAGGTGGGGATGTCGGGCCGCTTGGACAGCGTCTGCGTGTAGTCCGAGATGGCCCTGGTCACCGGGTCGCGCACCACCACGATGAGCTTGGTGTCCTTGGACATGGCTGAGATGCGCGCGGGCGCCTCCCGAGTCACGAAGTAGCTGGGAGTCTTCTCCATGGTGATCTGGCCCTCCAGGGTTCTGGGCATCAGGTCCCTGGGGGAAGCAGAAAGGGTCATCAGAACCTGGAGAGTAAGCCAAATCCCCAGAGGACACAGAGCACTTGCTCTAGGGAGTGGTGGCCCAGGCTTCCAGGTCAGGTTGCAATTCTGATTCTCCTACTCTTCCTGTATGCCTGACTAGGGAAGGCAGTGACCACCTGGGAGAATTGCCTTGATGGTAACCTCCAGGCCTTAGAAGTACTCCTGGCCAAAATACGGGCTCTGGCTGTTTGTGGTTACTGGTGTTACCGTAAGTCCACAAAACTCTAAGAGCATTGCATTGTTTCATTAGGTAGTGAATGAATCACAATATAAGGACAATTAAGATATTGGATGCCATCCTGCTCACACCTTGTGCTAAATCCCAGTGTAGCCTTGCCCTCCATACGAAAGCCAACAATTTCTCTCAAAAAAGAATTTTCTTGTAAACAAAGGGATACTTTTTTAAAAGACTTTTTTTAAAAAAAAAAAAATTATGTGTCTGTCTGTGGGCCTGTGCTCAGTGAGTGCGGGTGTCTCTGGAGGGCAGAAGTGGTGGCTCAGATCCCCTGAAGCTGGATGTAAAGACTGTGTGAGTCTCCCAACATCGGTGCTGGGAACTGAACTCTGGTCCAGCTTCGACTGTGCCACTTCCACAGGGCCACAAGAGCTACTTCCTTCTACCATGCAGGTCCTGGGGACTAAACTCAGGTCATCAGACTTGGTGGCAAGCACCTTCACCTGCTGAGCTCTCTCATTGGCCCCCAAATAATTACTTCTTTGGCAATCAATTGAGCTGTCCTCATGACAGCCAGTCATGGATGCTCTAACCCTCTCACAACCAGAAAGACTTCCTTTTCTCAAATTTTATTTATTATTTTTAATCTTATGTGTCTATTGCCTGAATAAGTGCACCTGTGTCATGCAATGCCCGTGTAGTCAGAAGAAGGCGTTGGGTTCCCCTGGAACTGTAGTTATGGACAGCTCTTAGCCACCATGTGGGTGCTAGGAATCAAACCCAGGTCCTCTGCAAGAGCAGCCAGGGCTCTTAACTACTGAGCCATCTCTCCAGCCCCCTTTCTTACTTTTCTTCTGTGGGTATTGGGCTTTTGTAATACCCTCCTTGTTTTTAGCTGATTTAGGGGCATGAGAAGTTGCAAGGATATCTGTATTCTCAGCTACAATGTGTGTTTTCTGCCTTTCTTTCCCCTTCTTCATTAGGCCATCTTTTATAATTCATTGATTTGCATTTCAGCTTTTCTAACACTTCCTTTTATTTGTTAGGCTGTACTTTGTCGGTCTCTTGTACACTTGCTTAACTACGTGCTTCATTTATGTCCAATCACATTTCTCAAGCCATCGACCCATTTTGAGGCTTCCATTTTCCTTTTAAGTGAGGACTTGATCAAGTTTCATAAGTATCAACATGTAGTCTGGTTATTTTCTTAAGTGCCAGTATCTAGAGGCTGCACTGAAAGGCTCTGATTTCCTTCTTGATTCAGGTACTCTCTATGGCTGTATTTATTTTTCCATGAGTACTATTTATTTTAATGAGTGAGATGTTTACTATTTCTGTAATGTCTACTTTGCTTGTGTGCTACAAGGATGCACTTCATGTTTTGTGCTTGTCTTTACTGAAATCTTACCACCTGCCCCACCTATACTGTTTGCTAACTATACACTGTGGAAAATGTCAGACATAAAAGAATGAAACGTGGAAAGTGAATCTCGTGTACCTTATATCTCCTTCAAGAATTCATAATGAGTGGCCATTTCATTTATGAGTCCCCTCATGTCCACCTCCTATCCATGCCAACTGGATTATTTTAAAGTCAATTAATGGGCATCTCTCCACTAGCTTGCAAGTATTTGAGTACCTAGGTGAATTATTTCTGACACAGATTCCTCCCTCTCTGTGGCATCTACAATACTGATAATGCCCTGGTTTAAAGGATGGTGCTTTTCTCCTGTGCTTGTTACTTTGGCAAGTGATCTTACTTTACTTTTGAAGGGAGGGTGATAATTGCATATCTGATTTATGTTGCCCAACTCCTGTTTTAAATTTTAATTTTCTAAAGATCTTACAATTTATTTTACAAAATAACAATGCACCTGATTAACTATCTCTTAAATATATCTGAGGGTCTAAATATAAATAAGCAAAGATCAAAGAGTTCAGCATGACATATATGAGATACTACTTGCTTGGCCTTCATAATTGATACACGCCTAATTCACTGTGTGACTCCATCTAGAACTGAGGAGCCCGCCAAACCAAGATGTTCTGGGAGCTTAAGCTGCCCTTGTACTAGATAAGCCAGGAAATCTGGCCAGAGAGGGTTGGAATTTCCCATTGAGAGAAATTTGATCAAATGTATGGAAAAGTTTCAAGCTTTAAAAGGAAACAGCAAATACACTGAAGTTATAAAAGGTGTATGTTAATTTAAAAACAAAAACACAGTGTTTCTGTCTCCCCTACAATCTTTGACTTGTAATTAATTACTTCAAATTTTGGCCCAAATCTGAAAGGGAGATAGGCTTCTTTTGGGAGGTTCTGGGTGGCTTGTCTCCAGCGGCAGGGAGGCCCTAGGAACATTTCTCAGAGATTGAAGCTATAGGTTATGCTTGGCCAGAGCAAACACAAGTAAACCTCTGAATAAAGGAACCATAATTTAAAGAGTATTCCAAATAGGTGCTAGGAAAGGAGACAGCTCAAACAGGGTTTCAAATGAAAGCCATACTCATTGCTTTCTGTCACCCATGGATGACTAAGGCTACCTGGTGAACATGGAGCAGGTCAGGAAGTTGGGCTTAACTGAAGGAAGGCTTAACTACAAGCTAAATTTTGTAAAACAAATAAGTGATCATCTACATAAATCTTTTTAAAAAATCTGTTCAATTTGTATGAGTATTTTGCTGACATGTATGTAGGGGTACCATGTGGGTACAATGCTTGTGGAAGCCAGAAGAGAATCCCCTGGAACTGGAGTTACAGCTGGTTGTTAGCTACCATGTGAGTGTTGAGAACTAAACCTGGGTCCTCTGCAAGAGCAGCCAGTGCTCTTAATCCCTGAACAGTTGTTTTGTAAGAGGACCCCTAATAGGACTCTAAATTGCAATATCCTTTTTACTTTTTAGTTCATTTTCCTATTGTAGTGAGAATTTTAAAATGAGAATTTTAAAGTGAGAATTTCAAAAATGTGCTCATCTTTCTCTTAAAACAAAATACACATGCACTGTGGAACACTGCACTTCGAGTGTTCAGGGGGACTTAGTAATTGTCCTTAGTAATTGCCCAATAACCAATTACCCTTAGTAATTACCCAAGCAAAGTCTGTACTGTGACTATATGTGAGGACCTGAGCCTGGATGGGCAGTGAATGATCTAGTCCCAGATTACAAAAGTGTCAAGAAACAGAGAGGCTAAAGCCTCATGAAAGGACACCCAAGTAGACACATGAAGTTTCCCTGTGGACAGCATAGGCTGTGAGAGATACATTCATCTGAGGGGTAGAGGAGTAGTTCTCAGGAAGATTCCATTTCCAGTCTAAGTAGTGTAGAAATTCTGATTTTGCCTCTAAGTTGTGACAAGATCTGGAAACTTTTATCATAGGTATGGCTTGGGAATTAGAGACCAAAAGTATAAGTTAGAGAAGCTTCCTCAAGTGCCCTAAAGAATGCAAGGATGCAAAGGAATTTCACAAACACATAGATGAGTATTACAAGTTGGATTATGCACATTTTGTTCTCTCTCCAAAGAACTCAATACAAATTCACAGCAGTCAAAAGGTGAGCTCTCCCAAGTGCCCATCAATGAATCATGAAGATGTGGTACAGTCACACTATGGAATACTACACAGCCATAAAAGGGAAAAGAATGTGCTCCATGATCCAACAGCAATGAACCTGAAGGACACTGTACTGAGTGAAATGAGCCAGTCAAAAAAGACAAAAACTGCCTGAATCCATGTACATAAGATGTCTAAGGGAATCAAAAGTCATAGCCAGAAAGTAGATTTCCAGGGCCTGGGGAAAGAGAATTCTGGACCAGGGACAGATTTAGTTTTCCAAGATTAGAAGTTCTGAAGACTGGCTCCATAACAACATGTATGTACTTAGCACCACTGTACCCAAGAATGCACAGTTAATAAACTTTATGTTCAGTCCATCTTATTACAATTTGATTTTTAAAAATAAGGAACTCATGCCACAGGACAGGGTGGAGCAGCCCAGGAGCCACACCGCTGAGCAAGGGTGGTTCTGGTGAGCCCATAGCATCTCCACACAATGAGCGAAGCAGACCGGTTGCAGCAGTACCTGCCTTTGCCACCCCAGGTTGTCACGGACACTGGCCGAGCTCCATAGGCCCTTGGACCGTAGCTCCTTTAGTGGCAGAGTTTTCCGAACGACATTCTTGGTGTTGGTGGTTTCCCTCACTTACCCTGCTTGGAGTCACAACACCTCTGGAGTCTCCCATAGATCCGTGGAATCTCAGTTTCAAAAAAGTCTATTTGAAAATCAACTTACCGGGCCAGAGTCCATGGTAAATATCAGAGACCTGATGGTTATTACCACTGCAAATGGCTTTTGTAAAACTTGAAAATGGGAAAATAGAGACCATCACCCAGTTTGGTTCAGGACCTTGTAAAACCTGAGGTGATGAGCCTACCTGTGGGAGACCCTTGGGCTCCTGGGTGGGCCCTGATGGGACTCTTTGTAGTTGAGGCATAAAAGGGACTGTTTGAAGTAAATCCCCAGAAATGTGCATTGAAACTGCTGCTGTCTTCTAAGACTCCCATTGAGGGCAAGAAAATGTCCTTTGTGAATGACCTCACTGTCACTCAGGATGGGAAGATTTATTTCGTGGATTTGAGCAGCAGTGGTTATTGAGGCCACTGATGATGGGCGCCTGCTGGAGTACAGTACAGAGACAATGGAAGTGAAGGCTTTGTTGGACCAGTTGCAGTTTCCCAATGGAATCCAGCTTTCTCCTGAGGAAGATTTTGCCCATGGCCA